ATAACATAATATCGAGCTCCTATAAAATGCTTTCCATCAGTAGCTCTCAAAGTGCTTTACAAAAGAAAGTCAGCATCATTATCCCTATTTTACCGAGGGAAAAACTGAGGCATTCCTGGGGAAGTGACTTGCAGGCCAGTACCAGAGCTGGGAATTGGACCCAAGTTTTCAGAGGCCCAGTTTATTGCTCGATCCACTATTATTAGATCAACCGCTAGAGTGTACTACTGAGACAGACCAGCTCTAGGAAAACCTAGAAGGAGCACTTTTATAGGCTCTCCCTACCCCTTTAGCAGGTGTCCTGCATGTGTATTTTGTCTTACAGAAGATCATACACATGGTGGAGAGGTGGTACCTTGTCCTTGTGTAGGTGATACCTGTGAGCCTAACTGGACAAAGAAATCAGAATGGGCTTGGTAAGGGCTGTACGTGACTTCATTCAAACACCCTTTCTCTGTAGTTAGATCACCCCTGCCACAGGAACATGAAAAACCTGTGTGAGTTTCCTAATGTATTGTTTTGTTTGGTGCCCAAAGGGAAAAACACCAGATGAAGTCAATGATCTGTAACCTGGAGAATAGGTTAGCAAGAGAAAACCCTCTAAACATCCAAAGGGATTGAAATGTCTCGTATGTTGCACTCAGGGTTGTTAAAGTGACAGATTGCTTCTTAGTATGCCTCCCCCAAGGAGAGATCTGCTCAAATATTTATTGAGCTCAGATGAAATTATTTTTTCAGTTACTTATTTTCACAGCCCAGAGAGTGAGACAAGCCCAATTAATTGTGTAACTGATCAAAAGAAAACACAAGCTTAAATGACTTGCATCTGAAGAAGTGAGGTTCTTACCCACGAAAGCTTATGCTCCCAATACTTCTGTTAGTCTTAAAGGTGCCACAGGACCCTCTGTTGCTTTTTACAGATTCAGACTAACACGGCTACCCCTCTGATACTTAAATGACTTGTGTTTCAAAATCTCAGGCATTTGCTTACCTACTTCCACACTATCTGTGCCCTTAAATGCATCAATGATAGTGGAATAATTCATTTAAATACTCCAATAAATCTTGCTTAAGTCCTTTGTGTTGCAGGCGTTAATTACCTCCCTGGGATTCCTCTATGCAGTGATAATTAGGGCTCAGGGCTAACTGAGATACTACAGAGATCTTTCCTGGCAGTCATTTAACATCCAGTTAGGTATTAAGGCCAAAAAGGAGGTATTTCTCAGCCATGATTTGTTCATTCACCATAGAATTGTTTTGGATTATTATTAGCTTGTCTACAGCTTCACAAAACAGTCAGGTTTGCTTAAAGGTCTCTAAACATGTGGCAAACAGTGGATTCCTTTAATCAGGCTCAACTGTATTTCATTAACCCAGTCTGTGTTATTATTGGTTTTTATTTGTATTGGAGAAGCACCCAAGGTCAGGACCCCATTGCGTTAGGCATTGTCCAAATACACTGCAAGAGACCTGCCCTGAAGGGCTTACAGGCTAAATAGAGAAGAGAGTCAAAGGGTGGGAGGGGAAGCAGAAACACACAGAAGCAAGTGACTTTCCGTGAAGATCTGTCGCAGAACCAGGACTAAAATCCCAGCTCACCTGGCTCCCAGTCCAGGCAGAGCCCTGTTCAAAAGGCCACAGTACCTCCCAAGCTAAACTGCTCTACAATAGGTTTTATACCAAAAATTTCCCACTGTTGCTTTCACCAGTTTATCTCCACCAGTGGTAGCAACAGCAGGAGCCGAAGTGTACATCAAGTGCCAGCATCCGCTGGCATTCTAAGCACTGTAACGTAGATTTGCTCAGAAGAGAATTGGGGCTCGTGTACACTAGAAAATGTTACTAGCAAAAGCCTAGTGCTGCCAACACAAGTATTTTGGCAGCGTGCCTTCACATGTGGCTGCCTGTGATGGTGCAGTATGTCTGTGTGTGTAACATGTTGGCAGGATTGAACCTACCACGCTGGTCCCAACATTGTTGTGCCCACAAGTCAATTATGGGCTCCAATCTGAGCAATGTGCACACACTTATCTCTACAAAAACCTTTGGCTCATGCAGTACACGAGTGCTAAAAACCCGGGTCCCAATTAGATACTTGTGTAGTTATATCGTCATCTTGAGCTCATTACAAAAGCAGCTTTGCCTCTCCTGGAATTGACACCTCCTCATCGATTATTGGGAGTAGACTACATCCACCCTGATCGAATTGGCCCTGTCAACACTGGTTCTCCATTTGTGAGGTAACTCCCTTCTCTTCATGTGTCATTATATAATGCCTGCATCTGTAACTTTCACTCCATGCATCTGAAGAAGTGGTTTTTTACCCACGAAAGCTTATGCCCAAATAAATCTGTTAGTCTTTACGGTGCCACCAGACTCCTTGTTGATCTTGAGGTCATTCATGAAGAAAACTGGACACAGCAGTTGTCTGAAACCCATTGGCCCCTTGAACACATGAAGAACTTCCTGTTTAAACACTGCTGGCTTGCCGATCTTTGCAAATCCTTGAAAATAACTGGCACTCCTCAAACAAGTTCTCTCTCACCAAGCCACAGAAAACAGTCCATATGTTTTCCTGGGGTCATTTTTACAATAGAAAATGGCGAGTAGGATTGAAGTTTTGTTTATTTCCCACCCTTCCCCCAAACTGCACACAGAAATGCAAGGAGAAAAAATACAGTGGGAGGAGGGGATATTGTAGTCTTGCTGCATAACTGTTTCAAGAGTTTTTTGATAGGGGATTAGTGGGTTTTTTTGTTTTTTGCTGTCCAGAGAAACTTATTTGTGATGTTAGTTCTTGCGGGAGGAAGTGGTCTCAAGAGTGACAGCAAATTAGCACTGACATTTGACTCATTTTGATCTTATCTATTTATAGTGGTATTTTTAACATGCTATGAAGAGTTTCATAGCCAGATGCCTTGCTGGGCTATAAGATGTAGTGCATTCCACAGCCATTACTCAAGGGTTTGCAGTACAAGATTATTTTAGTAGGGGGAGGTGGGGGGAAAGACTGGATTTAACAGTTTTGTTTGTTTGTTTGTGTCTCTGTGTATTTAAATGATGAGGGACTACAAATCCATTCGTAACACATGGAATAGATACATACATGGAATTGATGAGTTGAACGGATCATTAATGAGCATCCAAATGCCATGCCTCGTAGCATGTGGAGATATTCATGTCCCCAGCTGCTATGGATAGTCCCACAGGAATATACACCACTCTGTATTACACCATAGAAGATCACCTAGATCTCTCCTTATGTCCTGCTGGGCCCAGCCTCCAGTGCCCCGCTCATAGAAGAAGCACAAGCCTGCAACCTCCCACTCAATAGGGGGCTTATAGCCAGCTGGGGCAGCCCAATAAGCAGATGGATCTGGGCAGGCTGTGGTAGGCTCTGCTGGTGGGGTTCCTCCGGAGCCCTGATCAGATATGAAAGCTGGCAGGTGAATCCCACTTCCCCCTCCATCAGATCTCACTAGTGCAAGGGGTGCCCTTTGCATAGCCTTGTGCCACTGGCTGTTAATCTGGGCCAGAACATCCGCCCAGAATTTGCATGTGGCGTGGATGCTCGGATCCTGGACTTTTCCTCCTCCCTTGCGCTGTGTGGATGCTGTGGTATTTGGAGACAGTGACTTTAATGGCTGAGTTTCCCAACCAGTGAGTCTGGGCAGGGCCCTGTGAAACTCTGGTTGTTTTGTAAAGCCAGTTGGACCCGGGCCTAGAAAAAAGCCAGTCTCTTGCGTGTTCCCTAAGCACTGATCATCGACCACCTCAATGTTCAGGGGTGGGCAGGGAATGGGCCAGTCTCCACCGCACCAAGCCCTGGCACTCCCTAAGGATTTCTATGCAGAAGTCTAGATGGGAGGTGACGGAGCTTGGAGCTGCCCCTGTGCTGCTGCGGGGGAAACCTCTTTCTGGTGCCATGCTACCTGGAGAAAGGGGAACCAGCAGAACAGCTCCTCTTCCCTGCAGGGCTATAGAGTCAAGAGGGGGACAGCTTACACATGAAGTAGCTCCCCACAAGTCTCTCCCCACCCATGAGGAAGGTGATGCCATGGCAACTCCAGCACCAGGCCCCAGTCCTGGATTTGTCTCTGAGTGAGCCACGCTGCCCTCCTCTAATTTACCATTTGTCTCATGTTAAAGGCCTGGTCTACACTAGGACTTTAATTCGGATTTAGCTGCCTTAATCCGAATTAACCCTTCACCCGTCCACACTACAGAGCCAGTTAATTCGAATTAAAGGGCCCTTTAAATCGATTTCTGTACTCCACCTCGACGAACGGAGTAGAGCCTAAATCGATTTTGTTAATTCGAATTAGGGTTAGTGTGGACGCACACCACCGAATTACAGTGTTTAAGTTAATGGGGTAGTGTGGCCGCACACCACCGAATTAATGTGGTTTAAAACCGAATTAAGGTGCTTAGTGTGGCCGCGCACAATCGAATTTATACAACCTGTTTCACAAATTCGAATTATCTAAATTCGGATTAATCCTGTAGTGTAGACATACCCAAAGCCAGAGTGTGCTGCTTAACACTTTGAGGGCAGTTGGGCTGAAGAGTCATGGGTTGAAGAACCTTGCTGAATGGCTTAGCATGCAAGTTTGAGCAATCTTGCTGCAAGGAAAAAAAAATGGGGTAATATGGATGCATAGTCAATAAAACAGTCTTACCTTTCTGTCTGCTGTGACAGTTACTAGTATGCTTTTGAACCATAAAGTAACTGTGCTGAATTACCACTAGTCATGTGGTTGAGTGTGTGTGTATGTATATTTATATATAGATTTTCATAGTGACATTCTTATGGGAAACTATGAGTACTGTACTGCTAGTAAATATCCTTTGCAACTCATCTGCCTCCATCTGTTCAGCTCTATGAGGTTTTTTGTTGTTGTTGTTCTTAGTAAACATCCCGATTTATAAAAAGATTTTAATAAAAACCCATGAACATGAAAAAATAAATAAAAAGGAATGAAACAGTTTGCATCCACCCCTTAAGAATAAAGCACAAAACTTTATTCGTTGACTTGATTTGAGTACAACAGTGATGCAGATTATAGTGGCATAGGAGTGCAATATGTGTTGCTTGCAATATGAAAGTGGAGAAGATCAGTAATTGTACAGAACAGCAACCTAGGTCAACTTCTCATTTCGCAAACAAGAGGACTTACTGTACAGACAGACATCAATTCACTTTTACAGAAAGACTCGGAAATAGAGCTATACCGCAAACCATTGAAAAAGAAAGGGAATCTTTCAAAAAAGGCTGGTTTGTCAGGTTTCTGAAGGGAGGGGAGAAAACATAATGAAACCTAACCCAAAACAAACAACCCATCGCTAAAACCTATCAACTTAAAACAAAATCTCTTTTTAAAGTTAGTTTTATGTCCCAAAACTTAAACCCCAACCATCTATAAGGCCCCCTTACTGAAGGGTTGTTAGTAACTCACACACAGTCACTCTGCTTGCACAGAACAGTTTCATTAATGATACAAAAAACTCATTACTGTGGGAAGAAATGGCTTCTGGGATAGATATTTTTCTGGCCTAGCCAGCTGAATAAGGACCTGATCCAAAGCAGGTTGAAGTCAATGGGAGTCTTTCCATTGATTTCAATGGGCTTTGGATCAGGTCCAAAAGAGGCATATAGGCACCTACCTCCCAGTGACTTTCAATTCCTCTCTGCGTCTTTAGGAATTAGGCACCTAAATACATTTGAAAATCTGGCCCAAAGTGCAGTGTTTGATACACTGACCATGAACATTCTGCAAGCTTGTGCAGCTGAAACACCTATTTGCCTCCAGAGCAAAACGTAAGGGCTGCTTCATCTCAGAAAACAACGATCACAAAGCATGCAGGATCAATATTCTCTCCTGTGGATGAACATTTTGAGGAAGTAATTAACATAACTGCATTTCCTTGTTAGAAGCCCTTTGGGAAATGAAGTAATTCATGGCAACAACACTGATGGCCAATTATTCTCCCCCCCCCCACTTCCTGAACTGGTGCTTACATGTAAATGAATATGCTTATTGGCGTCAGAGATGATGCCTGACAAGGGGGGGCCTTCAACTGGAACGTCCAAATCTGTGCATGACACTGGTCTTCTTATCATTTAAATGGGACACAAAAGGTGGGGGAGGGAATCACAAGACAAAATCCACACCAGCTGCCACCCACTGTGGGTCTTGTAGCCAACCACTGGCGGTGTTTTCATACCAAAGGAGAAAGGCACATTGTTCTCTCATCACAGAGCTCAGTAGCACTTTCTATGCTCCTCATTACATTGCAATAGTGTAAGACCATACCCCAGGTCTAAACAGCCCTCCCCGGTATGTGTCTGCACTAAGAATCCTGCTGCCCTTGTTTGCCTGAACAGTCCCACAAAGTCTGAGTGGGTGAACAGTGCAGTGGCACCGGGGCTGCTCAAGTGAGCGCGGACTGTAGAATCAAGACCCAAGTGTGTGTAGTGGACAGAGATGACCATGGCTCCAGGACAGGTTGGGTGCTTTGCTTGTTCCCTCCAATGGGGTGGGTGGTGAATCTTCTTGTGACTGTTCTTTTCAGTGGATATAAAGTAATGTCCAACATGTGGAGTGTGTCATAGCAAAACAAAAACCAAACCGCCCCTCCCCACACATTGACTCCTGAAAGGGTGTTAATAGATATCGAAGAGGGGAAAGGGATGGAGAGAAAGAGGAGGTTTTTCATTCATTACATAACTCCTCCATCCTAAGGTCCAGCCCTTCCAAGGGCTGAGTTCTCCCAACTTCCATTGAAGTCGATGGGGGCTACAGGTGCTCAGGCCTGCTCAGTATTAGGTCTTTGGGATACAGCATTGGCAGTGCTGAGTGCACTCTTCTCTTTCTGTGGGCTGATTCTGCGGTCACCTTTTACACCAGCTTATTTCCATTGACTTCAGTAGACTTACTCCTGATTTACACCTGTTACTCCGGATTTACATTTGTCCATGACTCCAGTGACTTCAAGGGGCTTTGAGAGTGAGCAGCACTTGGCTGATCTGCAATTATTTCCTCTTAAGTACTTTAAACTCACCTCTGAGGAGCCCTGGAGGACCCTAGCTGAGCCAGACCCACTCCCCGCCTCAAGGCATCCCTGCCATATTTATAACAGCACAAAAGATTTCTCTCTTTGTAAAGATGAATTTGAATTTTAAAACTGGCCACAGCATAAACATCTCGAGAGAGGCAACTACTTATCAAAGGGATTTGGCTTCAAAGGCTGGTGGCTAATTCAAGCTTAACAAATCTTTCCAAAGAGACTTAGTGACTCTCCCCAGATGATAGGACTTTTGGACCATCTGGGCGAAGAAGACTTTCCAAGGTGTGCCTCTGAATGGGGAAAGGATGGCAAAACCTTCAGCATCAGAGTAAATCAAACTTTAAAATAGGCAAATGTCAAAGAAAAGACAGTTCAGTGACAGGAAACACCAGGAAGTTATCAGAATCACAAAATTAAGTCTTGCATCTTGTAAGACCAATAACCCTCTCATCACTTTTCCAGCCTGACTCTTTTCACCGCATACGGCAGCTGATCTGAGTTTACAGGTCACCACAAAGCAAATTTAAGGAGCAGTTACTAACCAGAAACTGAGAACAAACGTGCATTGTTGTTAGACAATCTTTTCAAACTCTTAAGAGCGCGCCAATCTGTTTTAAATAACAGCAGCATGAAGTTATCCATTAAGGAAGACAAAATAATATAATGAAGCTCCTCAAACAAGTTTTGAAAGGAAAAAAAATGGTTTCATGTTTCACTGGGAAGCTGAAAGTGTTAGACAAGTCTAAAAACTTCCAAATCTATCCTTCCAGCTACTGGCTTAATCTGCAGAGAAGACACAATGCACGTATTAAGATAAATGCACTATCATTCCGATTTTCAAGCCTGAAATGAGTTCACTTACAATATAGTGCAAGGACATTGGACTGGCCAAGTCTTCCTTCTTGCTTCTTTCTAGTTTATATAAAAATTCTCATGTCTTTTTTCTGTCTCTTAGTTGACAGGAGAGGGGACAAAAACGGTAAGTCAAATTACTTGATCCCAACTACACTGACGAATATTGCCAAGCTACACACAGCATTCTTTAGCAATCTCATCACTGCTGTTATGGGTGCTGCAGACCTGAATGAAAGGCAATAAGTAATGGGCGGCATTTTCAAAAAGAAGTGCCTATGGCCAAATTCCGCACTGATTTAGACCCAGGCCAATCATGGCAACGCACCAGTACACTCAGAACATGCGCACACATCAGCAATCAGGTAACTGCGTGCTCCAAATATGCATTTGTATCTGCAAATGGGAACCTACATGAACAGCACCATATCTTCAGGGAACGTTGAAGAAGGAGGGGGAATTTACCTACATCTTGAAGATATGCCCCAAAACAACAGAATATGGGAGTGGTGCTAGGAAATGATTCACAAACTGACTAAGGAGCCTCTCCCTGGGGCTATGTCTCTGTTTATGAGGCTGCTACTTGCCTTCTCAGGCTGATGGGAAGGTAGAAAAACTTGTGGTGAGAATTACTAGCTGCCCACTGGAGAAAACAGGCCCCAGGGCTGCAGCAGTGATCCTTAAAGACATGGGATCTCCTAAGGTTTGTGTACATGGGGACACTCAGGAAAGTTAAGATGAAACTAAAGTTGTGAGGTAAAGCAGCATTAGTTCACAGTAGCAGAGAATTTAGCTACAGTGAACTAACATCACTTTTGTCCTGAATGACAGCATCTACACTTTGTAATGAATGTGCTTTAACTTCACACATTTATTTGAGTCATCTTAACTTTCCTGAATGTCCTCATGTATTTCTTAGTAATGGAGAAACCTATGGTTGTAAAGGACAATGACACCAGCTTCTACATAGCAAAATCCTGAAGACGTGTGTAGACTAAGATGTCTGGGGCATCTAAATTGGCTTCTCTTTCATTTCTTTCTAAGCAGGGATAGTGACGATAGGTCGGAACTGGTTAGAAATAGATACAATCTAACCTGAAGTCATTTTTCATAGCTTGGGTTTTTGAAAATAAAGCACTGAAAATAACCAGATCAGATATTTTGAAATTCAAACTTTGCTGTTTTTCAACTTTTCTGTTGGATAACGTTCCCTCGTCGGCTGTGGAGATGTTTAATAATAAATCTACAGATGGAGGGAACAATGTGGTCTGCAAGCTTGCAGCTTTTCCTGTGCTATGCAGGAGAACATCCTTTGAACTGAAAATTAGAACTGGGAAAAAGACTAAGGCCGACCCTCCAAATCACTGCTCACCAGCGTCTGTCACACTATGTTTGTGTGGAGTCATCTGGAGGGTTGGGGCCTAAACAATTTCAGAATTTTTTTTAAAAATTGATACTCAAAATATCCAGCTTGAAATTGAACCATAATCTGCAAGAAACAAACAGCAAATTTCAGTAAGTTCCAACCCTACCAAACTCCCCAATCATAAGATGTTTGCCCCTTCAGTATGCTGTGTTTGGTTTCATTGGTAACCCGGATTTGCATCTCATTTCAGCTATTCCACTCCCATTTACTTGTCAATAGTAATCTGGAAATGTTTACTATGCTTGTACTGGAACATGAAATAAAACAACATGCTGAACTGATCCTTGCTGTAACCCCACTGAAGTCACTGGAATTACCCCCAGGGATTCATTTGGACCAGTGTTATGCTGTTCACTGAGAACTTCTGTGCTCTTGTTCCATAGGGGTAATGGCTGATGGCGCTGCATGGTAGCACCTCCACCAGCTCATCCCCTGGTCTGCACTATCCCTTTCCCCTGGCTGTGCTCTCTAGCATGCAGGCGGTATGGACCCCCCGCAGACGGGTCCCCCAAATACTAAACCCTCTGCCCAGATCTCTTCAGTGGAACAGCACTGGTTCTGTTGGATCACGCCTCTCTGGGACTGCAACCAGAAAGCAGGATTTGGTTAATTCTGCACATTGAGATGATTAGTTATAGGACAACATGCAGTCCTACTGGAGCAGAAGTGCAGAACTCAATGCAATGATCCAGAATCTCAAATCTCCTACATGACCTACCAGACCTAACCACTTCCTCCTCCTGATGTCTATGTGTTAGTCCTCAGTAATGGAAAACACAAAAGGCTCTGGTGTCTCCCATGAGGACTATCAAATCTAAAAGTAAAATCTTGACATCCCTCTGTAGACTAGCGCACTCATAAAAGAGAGGGATACATTGGCAGTTCAGCACCAATGTAGAGAAGACGTTGACCTTTCAGCAGCTAAGCATTCATTCAGGGAAGGTAATGTGTTCCTCGCGTCCTCGTGTGAACACAACCTGCCCTCCAAGCAGTGAAGTTATATACAGGCAATCTTCACACTCTGGAGCACAGTGGGAAAAGATTGCAAACAATAATAAGCATAACTCGATTCAAAAAACTACCCTGCATGATTTCCTGCACCCTACAAAGCGTGCCAGGCACAAAGGAAAAAAAACAAACAAAACAAAACCAAAAAAATACCAGGGTGCATCTTTGTAGCATCAAAGAAATTCCAAACCCTCTTTTCAAAGCATGAGTGAAAACGTTAACAAACAACAAACAATAAAAAAGTGCTCAGCTTGATAGTCAATGTCTGCAACAGTGATGTAACCAATAAGCCTATACTGGGAGGACATGGTGCAAGATAGGACTATTTCACATAGAAACTTCCCTTCCCCTGCCAAGAGGGGTTAAATCGCATGTCTGCTCACACAGAAAAAAATTCTCTGCTGGTGCAACTCAGTGCAGCTGAGCCATTTTGCAGTAGCAGGGAATTTGGCCCAAAGTCTGTGGGTGTGCACCAGAGCATACTTGAGAAGAATTTCCTTTTAACTCTTTCATTTCCTCCACCCACCACCCTCCCTAAATCCCCAGACTAAACAACAAGAAAACTGCCACTCCTACACCATTCCCTTTACTTAAAGGACTGGTAAAGCCCAGGCCATGTTAATTAAAGCAGAAAGTATGGAGGAGGGAAGATCTGAAAACATACACAGCAATTCACTATTGATATCCTAGCATATATGTAGTACAAGTACAAGCAGGGAATTTGTTTTCCAATAATTTGGTTGGTATGCAGCAGAACAGAGCAAACTGCCTGCCTCATTCTTTCATAACAGAAAGAATATGCTGTTTTAAAACAGTGCCAGTTAAGAAATGGTGTGCAAAAAGGATTAATTTTACCATATGGGTATACTACAGAATATATGTATATATATTCATTTCTTGAAGTGATTACAATTCTTTCATTCTACTAGGCATCCTAAGCGCACTTCCTGGCTCTAGCAATAAAGTCCGTCATATTCTGGACAAAAATTAAAGGGAATATTATTGAGGGAGAAGAAAAGAACCACTTCCTATCATGTATACGACATGTAAAAAGTTTACACATGTGAAAATTGCCATCAAGTTTCTGAACATAGAAATTTTTACCCCATTGGCAAATGTTCATGTTGGCCCAATTGCTATGAATACAGGTGCCTTTGTCAGATTTTCCCTTTTTGGTGGATGAGTAAGTTGCTCTCCAAAGAGAATATGGACTTTATCATACAATATCCTATGCAATTTGTTTTGTTTCGTTTAAAGGGCTATAAATGTAGAGTGAATTAAAAGAGTTTTGCTTTCTTCTTCATGTCGTTGCGTCTCCAAAGAGGTAACTTGTCAAACTCTTGTATTGTCATGCCAAATATTTCTTGAAAAACGTCCGGTGCTAAGTGACGCTGGAGAAAGGGAGAAAAGCACAGACAGTCAGTCACCACCACGGAGATGCCAGTGGAGAATGGGTGCATTAAAGATTTCATTCCAAAGCACAGCAGTAGTCTCAGGGAGCGAGGGTAAGTTGGCAAGCGGCTCCAGTGCTAGCCGTAGGGGCTTGATTAAAGGTCCAGGGACACACACTGAAATAATGCTAACAAAGCTCTCAAAGGGCTTAGCCACCACAAATGAATTCGTAATAATACCTACACATCTCATATAGTGATTTTCATCAGTAGGTCCCCCAAGCACTTTACAAGTATCATCCCCATTGCACAGCTGGGGAAACTGAGGCACAGAGAAGTAACATGACATGCCTAACATCCCAGCCAGCCAGCGGCAGAGCCCGGAATTGAATTCAGGTCTCCTGAATCCCAGTCTAGTGCTCTATCCACTGGGTTTCCTGTGTCCCCATTAATTAGACTTCTCAGCTCACTTGCGACATAGGTATTATTGTTTCCATTTTAAGGGGGGGGGGAAACAGACAGAGAGCGATTAAAGGGGAAATTTTCAGAAGGACGCCCTTCCTGGCAATACACTGGGCCAGCTGGCATGTGCAGCAGGGAAGGAAAGGTTTGACCAAGCCATCTCTCCAGCAAACCACGCTCCCTAAAGGCTGTGGTGCACCAGCACCTGCACTGGCCACACCCCCTCATAGTGCTGTCTCAGACTCTACACAGGTTTCTTCCTCGGCTGCTGCTTAGAATATGTTGGGTGGGGGGATGAAGCTCTCCCTGGTGCACGAGCAAAACACAGGGCAGGATTACAGCTATAGCTCACAGAGCCATTCCTTTAAAAACATATAGAAATGACCACAATGCTGTGTGGATATTGGTGGCCCCCTTCAAAGAAACCGGGTTTAGAACCACAGGCAGTCAGAACATCACACAACTGCCCAAGTCTCCTTAACCCACATTCATGAACAATTTTTTATGTGGAAGTAGAGACATAAACCTCACGCTTCTAGACATAAGCCAGACACTAACGAATGGCAGCTGGGAAGAAACTTCTGCTGTGGGCAGGTTATTCCATACCAGGGCACTCTGGAGTCCCTGGCTCCTCCGTAGCATCTGGCAGGGGGGCTGGAACAATTTGTATAGTGGGGGTGCCGAGAGCTAATGAACCAAACGGTAAGCCCTGTATATGGTGGAAACCACTTCAAGCCAGGGGGGTGCAGCAGCACCCCCAGCACCCCTAGTTCTAGCACCTATGGCATCTAGAACTGGCCACTGTCAGAGATGTGATACTGGACCTGATCTCATGTTCCTATGATTATTGGATAACGATTTACCAATATCTGCCTTCTCATCAATTTACGAGCAAATACAACTGGATGCTTGAGCTGCTCCGTCGATGAGGTTAAATGAGACATTCATACTCATGCCTCGATGCAGATTTGCAATTGCTACAGTATTTAACTCTTCGCCTTTGCTACCACCTCCTGAATCCTTCCTCTTGACAAATCTCCATTGCTACGCAAGGCATTTCTGAGAGGGCTTCTTGGTTCTAACCAAGGGCCTACACTTCTACATTTGATCGTTCAAAGGAGGAAAATAAACTTCAGTAGGAAAGTACATTTAGGAACTTGCTTCCTTACCTCAAGCCGGGTTCTGTCTACATCCCGTAATATTTTATTTCGCCCTCTGTTGGTCACCATGAGCATTTCATATGGAAAAATCTGTTCGTGTATAAGAGGGATTGGGGTGGGGGGGAGGAAGAGACGTATTTACATTCAAAAACAAAAGAACATACATGTATTCTTCACCTAACCACACAACCACTGTTCTTAGAAAGAAATAACAAAACTATAAAAAAGCTTCTTTAAGTTGCCTGAAAGTGAAGTCCAATCTGGCTTGAACAAATACTCCTTCGCTAACAAAACCAACTCGACCACATTTTGTAGGTACAATACACGTCAGCACCATTTTCAGAGATGTGTATATCCACACTTCCCACAGACTTATATAAAAAGTACAATATATATATTTGTTTTTAGCCACAAAGATGCATCTCTAGTCAATTTTTTGACACTTGGTAAGTTAGCGTGGAGTTTATTTAGGTAAAATATGTAGCATCCAGGAACATGTTTGATGGTTGCAATAATTTGCACAGTTCTAAGGAAAAGAACTAAAGTTTATTGTGCTTCAACCACCACCACCTGAAAGTACAGTCAGAAAAAGTAGCATCTCTTAACAACTTTGTTAGTTATCAAATTGGGCCTTGTGTTGAGTGAAATTTATCAGATTAATTATTTTCATGTTGTTTGTTGATTTGTTTACAAACAAATCACAGGTCCCCACTGTGCATTTTGACCTTGACATCATGGATGGATTGCAGAAAAAGATTTTGTAGTTGGAATTTATCTTACATGCCTTCCCCTTCTTTAACATGGCATACATCCATTAAATCTTCTCTACAATATTTTATGAGGTTCTCTGGTTTGGTTAATATTGAATATTCAGATATTCTGCATTAATCAATTTTTGGAACTAAGGAAAATCATGCTCTTAATTTGTTTGGACAGGTTTAATGCCACAGTTTTAAAATGAAAAGCCTTGGAGCTTTTCCTGTCAGCTATTCCCTAATCAATCTAACCCAATCAAAATGATATGCCACAGAAAGGAATTAATAAAATTTGGTGCCTAAAATAAAGTGCTGGATTCACAGCCCTGGAAACTGAAGCCCTCTGTTTAGTTATCAAACATCTACAGCATAGACAGCAACAGTGCAGGTGTCCCTTTGCCAAGACACCTTTGTGTCTTTGCTATAACTTAGAAAGACCATGTCGAAAGGTAATGGAAAATCTAATGGTCCACCTTCTATTGTCCATTTCACCTTTGGCCTCTCTGCTGAGCATGCCCACAAGCTTCTCAATTAGGGCCTGACCCAATTCTTATTTAAGTTAATGTGAGTTTTTCCATGGGCTTCAGTGCAAATTGGGTTGGCCTTTATTGCCAGCTGTGGTGGTGGTTTTAGTGATATGGATATTTGTCCACTGGGGAAAGGACAGAGACCATCAAGTCCTCTCACAGAAACCGCTATGCAGCCAGCCAATGTTATAAATACACGTAACGTTCTTAGACATTAAGACTGTCCCTGGTAACAAAACTCTGTGTTGTCCTGCTTCACTAAGTTCATTCCATTGTCACCAACTATCCCAACACATTTTTCAGAAGCATAATAAATAAGATTCAGCCATAAATGAACATACCATTGAGTTTATTGTAGTTAATAACTTAAATAATGTGTACTTAACCATATCTTACAACCAGTATGTCTTAGAGTCTGACATTCTCATAATTGTACAATTAGTTCTACTTTATACTTTAAGAGTTACATTGTTTCTGTTCAACACTTAAAATAACTACAATATACAATTTTATATGAAAAAGTGTAACTTGTCATAAAATAACCACAGTGAACACAGGGAAAGCTTATTTCAAAGATTTGAGGTCATCATCACGTTTTAGATTTAAAAATTCACTACATAGCATAGTTCATAATTCTTGGTTTCAGAATACACAAACCCTAACCTCCTTTTGAGGCACTCGTTCCTTGTTTTTATTGGGTGAAGTTTCGTGAAATTCACCGATTTCCACATCCCACATTTTTCATGGGCAATAAACACACATTTTGAGCCAAGCCTCAGCTCATTTAAGTTGCTGTTGGCAAGTTAATTGGGCTACACCAATTTACACCAGCTGAGAATCTGGCCCTACATTATTGTATGTCAACGCAAACTAAACTTTTACTCCAGCAAAATTCCCATAAATTTTACCCTTAGGAAAATGTCAGAATTTGCCACCCAAAGCAAGAATAAAACAGTTATTTAAAAATATGTTGCCTGGGTCCATCAACAGCAATGGTGGCTGTAAGGAGTTATACTGCATCAAAGCAGGCATTATATTGGAGTAAGGAGCCAGAATAAAGCAGGATTTAGGGAGTGGTGAATTCCCCAAGGTAGATATATAAATATATTTTTAAAATGTACATTTCATGTAGGTCAAGGCTTATGAAGCCAGGGCTAGGGCCTTCTATAATATGTCTGGTGCCGGCTCAAAAGCAGAAAAAGCAATGTTGTCTGCAAAAATTGCTGCTCACCCTAAAGGCAGAAACATCGACCCTTATGATTTTGGCAAAACCATAGTTTTTCAGCAGGTTAACCAGCAATAGAGAAATGTATACAACGTAACCCGCAGCTCTAATTGAATCCCTCTCACTATCAACACTCTGTTTCAGTCCCAAAATGCCTTTAGCCACAGTTGTAAAGTATTACATTTTATACCCAGGCGATGACATCCCTTTCTCAACAAACACCCTAAGAATCCCTCTTTTCAAAAGTTAATGTAGGGCCGATGAAGGCAGTTGGACTGACAGCCCTGGAGATGTGAGTCTGTTATTCATTGTTAGAACAGGTTTGGGCAGCAGCACCGCAAGCTTCCCACCATCTGTCTCACTTCTCGAGCTCTTCAAAACTGGGACCGTCCCGTAAAATTCGGTAGAGGTGGCAGCTCAATGGCGAGGTGGATTACAATGGTGCTCCAGCCTCTTTGCCGGCTTAAGACTTTGGCTTCTCTGCTGAGGCTACCAACTTGGGGTCTCAGTTTGTGCCAATTTAGGTGATAACTAATTTCGGATGCTGCCATCTGCAGGCTCGGAAAAGGAATCAGACTCCCCCCCACCGCCCAATTCATTTCTCATAAGCCACGTTTCACATTAGCTGGTAACAATCTTCTCCCTGTAACTATTAACAGGAATGACCAAGAACAATGCCTCTATTTACTTCCTTCACTATGTTTTACACAAAAATCCAAGATATTGTAGGACCATAAGAGTTGAGTGTAATCTATACACATGGGGATTAATGCACCTGGGTCACATGAGTGTTTCATTTTAATACTGAGAAATGACAAATTTTGGTGAGCACGCGTCAGTCTAAATGTTTGTGTGGGAAGCGGAGGTGCACCTGAGGAACATTCCTCTTGGTCACATAGGAGTCAACTTGAGATTGTACAGGGCTTCTGCCAGTTGGACAGGTAGCTGTGCCAATTTGTTACATACAGTCCCGTCAAGGCAGGTGCAGTACTATTACACAGGAAAAGATGCACTGCTGCAGTCCCTTCCCATTGTGTTTCAATTACTCTTGAAAATAATGTTTTCAGGCTTCCCTTTTGGTTCACTATACCATTCAAACAGGACTGGAGTTAAACGGAAAGAGAGAATCTCAGAAAGGCTGTGAGCTTTGCTCGAAAGCAAAGGTGGGGAAAATGCATCTGTTCCCTGTACCAGGCAGCTTCACATTATCTCTTAATAAGGAGAATGATCTCTTCTTATGGGTTGGTGTGCACCCCTAGAAAGGTGTGTTGCTCTAACCCACAGACTTCAGACGTACTGTAAGGAGAGGCATAACAGCTATGCTGATAACTGCATTTGTTTTACTAACAGTCAGCATACACAGGTGGGTAAGTTGGACAATGCCTGTGTATAAATGACTTCTCTTCCTGCTCCAGCAACTTGGGTATCAAACCTTATTTAACTTTTAGGATCTGATGCTCATTTATACTAAGGCCTCTTTCCACAGCTGGAGTGGTATAAAGAGGCCCTAGTGTGAGAATTAAGCCCTTTCCTTTCCACTAACGCTCTGTAACTAACCCGGCCTCGCTGCAGCTAAACGCGCCTGTTCCTGAGTTATGCGTCTATCCAGGTTTAAGCACTGTGGGTTCCTGCTGTTTTGGATGTGGCAGCTTCACAGCTGGATGGGGAATTAGCTGCATTTGGCATCACTCAGGCGCTTTCAGCCTCTCAGTGTTGCCCCCTGAAATCCCTCCTAGGGGCTGCCCACTGTGGCTGCTCTTGTCCCACCCCTGGAGCAGACAGGAGGCACACCCATGCGAGGTGGGGGCCAGCACAGAGGGAGAGATTTGGCACATAAGGAGCAATGATTGGGATGAGGTAAAGAGAAACAACAGGGACTCAAGACATTTCCTATAGTATCTCATCGGCAGTACATAGTCAAACCTTCACTGTCTCGAAGGAAAGTGAATAACAGCTGCACTTGCCTTTGGTTCCAACATGTTAGGCATAGACACTCCTCTGTCCATTCTCATTCCGGGGACATGACCATCCGGGAGGGACTGCATCGGATACAGGTATACGTCAGACACACAGGTTACACATACACACACACAGGGTAAAGGTACTCATGTAATGGTGAAAACAGAGGTGAATTTATGCTCAGACTTTCCTCAGATCTTAACAATTAATCTTACCATATGGAACACTGTCAAAGCTCCTGCTTATTACTTTTCTAAGGTGAGCTCTGGATCCCATCTCCCTCAAAGGCTCTGATCTGCTCTCTGCTCAGTAGGCCTGGAACTGTGGAACCCATCCATACCACTCCCAATCCACCAGGGGGTTACTACAGAGTGGCCACACCTTTCCTGTCCCAATGGCTTCCTCTGTGGGCTTGCAGCTTGGAACCTCAACTCAGATCCCACTCGACAATGTGTATTATTAACCACTGGGCCGCGCTGCTCCTTGCAACTGTCCCTTTATCACTTGGATAGCGTTAGAGTGTGGCTTTACTCTGAAAAAGTGACTGCAAAAATGGCACCTTGAAATTCCGCAGAAGTCTTTTTTTCTCATAACAAACGGCACTCAGTTATATCCGATATGCTCAGTTGACAAGTAAAATGGTGTCATTTCTAACTGCAAACTCTACCTGTATGTGACAGTCAGTCTGGGTTCTTTCCATTTCACACATCATCAGTAATAAAGGCTTTACAGGTCCTGTTACAAAGGCTCTGTTACACCTGTGCATCCTACTTTTCCATTTTATCTTCATTGACACCTGGGAAAACCTAATGCCTTTTGCACAGGGACAACTGACTGAAACTTAGGGCAACTCCCACTGAAGTCAATGGAAAAAGATTCTTTGATCTCAAGCGGGAGTTAAATCCTGCATTGAATGAACAATTCTGCTGAACATGTACCAGCATGAATAGATCCAGTGTACACTCTGCTAGGTGTATTGGCTCTACAGTGATAGCAGGTGAAAAAGTCGTATCAACTTATTTTTGTCACAATAGGCAGATTTTACTGGGAATGCACACAAGAGGCAGCTCTTGGTTAAGAAAGTGCCATTTTTACATAGTTACTGTTCATAGCATAACCACACTTTAAGCATAATGCATGGCACGACATAAATATATATTGTAATCTGTTATCCTCTCACTGCAGATCAGTCTTTGATACAGTACATAATCAATTTGCCCAAGTATTAAATTATAATCATTATTTAGCATTTATATTGCAATAGCGCCTACAGGCCAACCATTTTCGGGCTTCATTGTGCTAGGTGCTGTACAAATACATATTATTGTGAACATTCATTAAGATATGCAATGGCAAAAAGTTGTCATGGGGATCTGGAGAGGAGGGGCTGGCACTTGCAAGAGCATCTACTGCTGGAAGATCTATGGTGACAGCATCATAGGAGGCCACTGGCCAGCCATCTCAGCTGGAGGGTGAATTCCATGTTCACAGCCACAGACAAAAAGGGAGAGTTTGAGGCTCGTAGTATGGAAGACGGGGGCCCCCAGAAGGAAGAGGAATGTGTCTAGACCACCCTTGGTTGGGACAAGACATGGGGAGAGAGAACCCATGCTCAGATGCCAAGAAGGAACCACTACAGATAATTTTCATTTCAACATCAATTAGCTTTACAAAGCAGGTCACAAAACTGTTGTGCGGGCGTCCTCACCCATACAGTTCTGGGGCTGTACCAGGAAGCATCTTAGCTGTACCTGACCCTTGTTGATACAAGTCTACATCGTTGATTATGCTTAAACATGCAGATAAACTGAAACAAAGGTCTTAAAAAAACCCTTCCCTGTAGCAGTAATTCAGACTTGAATGACAGAGTGGATGTTTTTATCTCTGCTGTCAGTTGATGGATGAAAACCCGTACTCTACCTGGAAATCTGAAAAGCAAAGGGAAATCTCGTCAGCATTAGAATGCGGAAGAACATGGATTGGTCACAAACACCAAACAGAATATTTTAATTGTTCAGCGAAAGCAATATCAGATCAGTTTGCAGCCTCCAGCAAACATCAGCTTGCTGTTCACCACTTTGATACTATTGATGCTTCTCAGAGATATCGGAAGATAGTTACTATCAATTCACAAAACGGTGCATTAGCTCCAGTAACTCATCTCCGCTTATTTTATAATTAAGCATGAAAGAGATAACAGTCTCTCTGTCCCAGTCAATCTACAGTGTTGTAACTGATGTGATGTACTGATGTTGTTGGGGATAATGTCAGATTTTTTGATTGACTTGAATCCAAAAGCCTAGGGTGACCAGACAGCAAGTGTGAAAAATTGGGACAGGGGGTGGAGGGGTAATAGGAGCCTATACAAGAAAAAGACCCCAAAATCGGGACTGTCCCTATAAAATTGGGACATCTGGTCACCCTACAAAGGCCTGATCCAGTTTCTACTGAAGTCAAGGGAAAAATTTAAGGGAGAAGGAATCTAAGGCCTTATCCAAATGAGAAAACGGTACCAATTCAATAACATTGGTTTAGAAATTGGCTTAATTAAATCAGTGCAACATCCTATACATTAGTTAAATCTAGGGCTGTCAAGCGATTAAAAACTAATCGCAATTAATCATGCGATTAAAAAAACTAATCGTGATTAATCACACTGTTAAAGAATAACAGAATGCCATTTATTTAAATATTTTTGGATGTTTTCTACTTTTCAAATACATTATTTCAATTACCACATAAAATACAAAATGTACAGTGTTCACTTTATATTATAATATCAGAAATAGTATTTTTCAGTTCACCTAATACAAGTACTGTAGTGGAATCTCTTTATCATGAAAGTTGAACTTACAAATGTAGAATTATGTACCAAAAAATAACTGCATTCAAAAATAAAACAATGTAAAACTTTAGAGCCTACAAGTCCATTCAGTCCTACTTCTTGTTCAGCCAATCACATTTGCAGGAGATAATGCTGCCCACTTTTTGTTTACAGTGTCACCTGAAAGTGAGAACAGTCACTCTCATGGTACTGTTGTAGCTGGCGTCGCAAGATATTTACATGCCAGATGCGCTAAAGATTTATATGTCCCTTCATGCTTCAACCACCCTTCCAGAGGACATGCGTCCATGCCAATGACAGGTTCTGCTCGACAATGATCCAAAGCAGTGCAGACTGATGCATATTCATTTTCATCATCTGAGTCTGATGCCACCAGCAGAAGGTTGATTTTCTTTTTTGGTGGTTCAGTTCTGTAGTTTTCGTGTCGGAGTGTTGCTCCTTTAAGACTCCTGAAAGCATGCTCCACACCTCATCCCTCTCAGATTTTAGGGGGCACTTCAGATTCTTAAACCTTGGGTTGAGTGCTGTAACTATCTTTAGAAATCTCACATTGGTTCCTTCTTTGCGTTTTGTCAAATCTGCAGTGAAAGTGTTCTTAAAACGAACAACATGTGCTGGGTCATCATCCGAGACTGCTATAACATGAAATATATGGCAGAATGCAGGTAAAACAGGGCAGGGGACGTACAATTCTCCCCCAAGGGGTTCAGTCACAAATTTAATTAACACATTATTTTTAATGAGGGTCATCAGCATGGAAACATGTCCTCTGGAATGGTAGCCGAAGTATGAAGGGGCATACGAATGTTTAGCATATCTGGTAGGTAAATACCTTGCAATGCTGGCTACAAAAGTGCCATGTGAATGCCTGTTCTCACTTTCAGGTGACACTGTAAATAAGAAGTGGAAAGCATTATGTCCCGTAAATGTAAACACACTTGTTTGTCTTAGTGATTGGCTGAACAAGAAGTAGGACTGAGTGGACTTGTAGGCTCTAAAGTTTTACATTGTTTTGTTTTTTTGAGTGCAGTTATGTAACAAAAAAAAAATCTGCATTTGTAAGTTGCACTTTCACGATAAAGAGATTGCACTTCAGTACTTGTATGAGGTGAATTGAAAAATACTATCTTTGTTTATCATTTTTACAGCACAAATATTTGTAATAAAAATAATATAAAGTGAGCATTGTACACTTCGTATTCTGTGTTGTAACTGAAATCAATATATTTGAAAATGTAGAAAAACATCCAAAAATATTTAATAAATTTCAATTGGTAGTCTATTGTTTAACAGTGCCACTAAAAGTGTGAGTAATCGTGATTAATTTTTTTAATCGCAATTAATTTTTTTTTAGTTAATCGCGTGAGTTAACTGCAATTAATCAACAGCCTTAGTTAAATCAGTACACTCTTCCTGTGCAAGTCCTAAGTCGTTATGGTAAAGAATATAAACACTAGGGCACAGCTAGTAGAAATATATTTCTTGTGGGCCAATTCAAGTAATGTTCATAAGTGCAAAAGTGCAAATTATTATTTAAAATAAATCACCATCAAAATATTAGTTTCTGCAAGTGCATTGAACTCCCACCACATCAGCCAACATGGCACTCCTATCGGCACTGCAGTACTGCTATGCCTCACAGAGCAAAGAGTAGGGACTTGTTTGTCTCTCATGGGCTTTTCTAACCATCCCTGAGCCACAGAGTCTTACTGTAGATGGGCCTGGGGGAAACCTCACAAAAAGCGTATTCCAAATCCATTCGATTCAATTGGGAAACTTTCACCGAGTCAAAAATCGCAACGTTTCCAACTATACAAACATTTTTTATGGAAATTTTCAGACTGTTTGAAAAGGTATTTAAAAAAAAAGAACCTGACAAATTGTTTTAGCCGGCTCTATGGATTTTACAGTAGGGAGAGGATCGAAGGTGAGATTGTCAAAGAGGGCTACAGGACCTCCCGTTGAAAGTCCGAAGCTGCACAACCAGATGATGGCAGAGCTGGGAACAGAACCCAGAAATCCTAACTAACCTTAGCCAGAGGCCCAATCCCCTAACATGACATTTACAGAAAGTAAGTTCATATTCTCTGTGTATGGGGTACAAAATATACATGCAGTACTTAGCTACTCTGCTGCATGCTGTTATGCCGGACATTGGGCAGTGCCCCTTCAGAGGAGAGCTGAATATCCAACATAAACCACATTCTAGGAGCAGTGAAGAGAATGTCATAGGGAATAGGAGCGCTTTCAGGAAACTAACTCAGATGTACCAGACCAGTTGTCCATCCCTGGCTAGATCCATCTTGAGAAATACTGTATAATCATGTCTGGAGCAGTACATGCCTATTGATACATAGAACATGTATCTGAACAATCCCTAAAGCCTTTAGCACATGCAGAATTTGCTGTTTGACTTTTTAGTACTAAGGAGGACTGTCTGCCTCCATATGCAATAGAACTGCTGATATTAAAAAGTACCAGTTGTTCCTGTTCTGATGTGTATAACAAGTTACCACACAAGTCAGAGAGAAGAAAACAAGTGTAGACTCTGCACTGTTTAACACAGATGAGGCCCAGAGAAGCTGGTTTGATTTTCATCCTGTAGGCTTTTCCATCAACTGACTGATTCATCCATCTCCTGACATTCTACAAGGCTATGAAGTGCTATGAAATACCTGGCATGCTTTGCAGGTCTAGGATAGCTCATTGAGACTCCTAAATGCTACATTTGTGAACACAAATGGTTGGGATCCTTCCCTCTAGAACCTCTACAGTCCTGGTCCACACACATGGGACCATCATTTCTGCTTGAATGCACTGAAGGTTATCCCAAGAGGTTCTTCATTTGTCAGATAAGCAGTTAACCTCACTGGCACTAGGACCTGGGATTTCCCAACATTAAGACCTTTTAGAAAATGGGAGAAACCACAATAAATAGCAGAAGGCAGCTCAGCAAACCCAGCTGCATCATGTAATGATGCCTGAGTTCACAGTCCCATCCATTTTCTAAGCCTAAGATTACATTACAACTTCAGCCATGTTTTTGTAGCCAGGTCATGACACCCACATCTGACCTGTTACAACAAACAGGTTGAGCTGTGAACACTCATGAGCTTTTTGCCCAATGCAACCATGTGTCAACCTTGACAGCATCAACACCCACATGTTTGCATTATGGAAATATCATAGCACCTCTGAGTACTGGGTGGGGAGGTACACAGGGCAGTACCAGCAGCACATGGGACAAAGCATTCTGGAGTGTTCTACCGAAGAGTAGGGAGGAAGAAAGTCTGGCCAGTCCAGTTACACCAGCATGGTTGTGGGACCCGTATGAGCAGAAAATAATATTGTTATCCCCTGAGACACTGATGAGCCAGCCAAGCCCACTGTCTTGGGTGACACATGGTTAGCGGTCACCATTACTAACCGTGTAGTAAATGTGATTCATGGGAACACAAACCTTGTTTAAAACTAACCGTTTTTTACATGCTCATTTACCAGTTAAAGTGCAGATAGGGCCTGATTAATAATTGAAAAGCTGAATGAAGGACACCTTGCCTTCTCCTTCCCCATACTACAGGAACGTTCCCTGGCTGGAGAGGCCAACGCAGGACTCTCTTCATGGCCCCAAAAGGCTACTCCAAGAAGAGGCATGTCATGTTGCCACTGCCCTGTGGTTCTCCTGGAGGCTGCCAGTTTATGGAGCACTGTCACTGGCAGCACGACCTCCAAAGCGACTAGGCTGGCCCTCAAAAGGTGAAGTAAAAAAAAATGTTTTAAAAGGACAAAGTGTTTCTCCTGCTTTGGAGATGATTAGCTCCCCTGTGATATCCTGCGTCAATTCATGCTTTGGCACCTGCGTGCCATAATCTATGCAACTTGTGACAAACTGCAGTAATGGCAAGTGATATATACAAAGGGCCCAATTCCAGTCTCACTCTCAGCACTTATACACATCATAGCCAGTGGGGTTACTCCTGATTTACACCAGCATAGCTGATATGGGAACCAGACCCAATACACTCATGTGCCTGAGCTTTCAGAATGAACCCGAGACATGGACATGTTGGCCACTGCAGTCCCAGACTCATTTGTCAACTAAGAAACAGAGCTCACACCCCTGAGCAGCAGATCCTTTGTAACAGCATCCTGTCATTTCTCACTGGTACATTTCTCACAACAGAAACCACAACAATACGGAGCATGAGTCTAGGGCTTTGTGTGTTCAAAGTACTTTGTAAATGCTAATCATCAACACATTTTACTGTGGAGGAGACTGGGGCACAGGCAGGTTACACGTCTGGCCCGAAGTCACACAGCAAGCCAGCGGCAGACCTGGGATTAGAATTTAGCGCTCCCTGGTTCCTAACCTTGTGGCTCATGATTCCAGACCATGCTGCCCATGGTGTATCATTTGCAGCTCTATAATATAGCAAAACAGAACTCAGTGCACATCCCTGAATAAATACATACGGTTTGATTCTCATTTGCACTGAGACCCCTTTGCACTGCTAGAACAGATCCTTGCTGTAAATGAGAATCTATCCCATAACGTGGCTTGGAAAAAAAAATGTTGACAAATGTCTGCACATTTTAAGTTAACTCTGGAGTTTACCGGACGGGGTAAAAACTGAGATGCAGACAGGAGATCAACCACATTTGCTGCCTTAAAAAGGAACTGCAGAAACCAAAGCGAGTGTCACAGTTCACTCAGGGACCAAAGCAAAACAAGAAAACAAAAAAACCAACTCAGCCTTACCTCGAACATCACCGCTCACATCCCCATAACTATTGTACTGACCAAAGTCTGTAGACACCGGCTGTAACAGGAAGGAAAACACAGTCATATAAATGCACAGTTCACATATGCATGAGTGTGCAGGTATTTCTCATACAAAGGCCTTCAGCTCTCAGGTCTTGCTGCATGGTACACATTTCTAGCAGAATCTAGTCAATGGGGAAGGGCAAGGCTCTTGGTAGCAGGTGGCTTTTGTTCTACTGATGTTAGTTTTAAAAGAAAGATTGATCCAATTTAGAGACCTGATGGGATCGACAGGGAAATAAATACCCAGACTGAACATTAACTCCACCTTCTGCTTCTCCACACTCCTGCCATCTTACCCTGTGCAGTCCATTTCTTCCATAGCCAGGGAGGGAGGAGGTTTTGGAGGCCGAGGCTTGTGAGGCTGAATGGGGAGGAGAGAAAAGTCTTTTAATAAAACACCAAAAATCCACTGGAAACTCAAAGTCAGAACATTTGGGGAAGCATTTCTCAAACTGTGGATTGAGACACCAAGGTGGGTTGTGACCCTGTTTTAATGGAGTCACCAGGGCTGGCGTTAGACTTGCTGGGGCCTGGGGCTGAAGCCAAAGTCCGAGCCTCACTAACCAGGGCTGCAGCCGAAGCCCAAGGGCTTCAGCCCTCGCCGGTGGGGGCTCAGGTTACAGCCTCCCACTGGGGGCTGAAGCCCTCGAGCTTCAGCTTTGGCCCCACCCCCAGGGCGGCAGTGCTCTGGCTTTGGCCCACGTGCCCGGGGCAGCGGGGCTCGGATTTTGGACCCCCTTCCCAGGGCTGTGTAGTAATTTTTGTTGTCAGAAGGGGGTCGCGGTGCAATGAAGTTTGAGAAACAGCACTGACTTTGGAAAGCAAACATTGAAAACATGGCTAAGAGCCAAATATGTACCCAACCACGACTTCATTGGGAGCAGGATTCAAGTGAGTAGTAATGGTTGAACCTCAACCAGTTGGGGGTTTTGGCTTGGCTAAGCATCTAGCTCCAAAGCTTATCCCAACTGTGTTAGGAAATCTTGCATGACCATCCGACAGGTTCCAGTACTCCTGATTTCATCTAAAATAGCAAGGAAACAGCCTCTCCTCTGGTATCATGGTGCTTCTGCTTAACGTCTCAGTTGATGCCAGAAAGTGCAGCGGCACGAAGGCATTTCTTTGGCTTTCAATTTTAAGCGGGTGGTCATATATGTGGTCCTCCAGCAGCACCTCTGGAGGTAACATTGTAATTCATTTTCCATCACAGGGACTTTCTTCTCTCTTCCCCACAATTAGCACCCCTCTCCACTTCCTCGGCCACCCACTAATGTTGCCCTTGCAGTCTCTGGTTTAAGGAGACATTTAAAAAAAACAGGAGGAGGTACAAAGGACAAGATGTTCTGGGGATAAGGGATGCCGACGAAAGCACAAATTTGTCTGACCAGCAGTCCACAGATCTCACACAAAAGGCAGAGGTGTTGCAGATTAGCACTGATGTAATGGTACAGATGGGCACGGAGAGGCTTCCATTAAGGTGACACTCTAGCCAGTGCATCTACTCATCTTTGTGAGCGCTGATATTATTAGAAAGACCCCAGCCCCGTGACCAGGATCGGAGCCCTAGCCTGGTCCTTCTCTCCCTGACCAATAGGGGCTGGCAGTGCTGTAGAGACAGCCTCCTCATACAACGGGGAAGAACAGAGAGTCTTATTTTGTTGTGCAGCCATCCACTAGGATGGCAATGGCAGGTTCCACAGGGAGCTGCTCTTGACTTTTCTTGGCTTGGAGCAGACTTACGATGCAAGGCCCTGAGGGCAAGGAGAATGAAGAAAACACATGAGGAATAATCCTTGGAGCTCTGAGAAGGGCACATAGGTGCACCAGGGATAAAAGAATATATTAAAAATATACCTACAAAAAAGGCCAAAAACTCTTGGCTGCATCACTGACCTCCCTGTAAGCAAACAGTTAAGCACGGCTGATACTTTTGCCTTTTCTCTGGAATGTAATGCATCCAATTGAAATGCTAGCTTAGACAGACAGACATTGACTCGCTAGGATCCAGCACTTTGGAATGTGTTGCCCTGCTCTCTAAGGCATTGCTGATTTCCTCTTCCCCCGTGGGAAAGGTTAAAAGGCTATGTGAAGCTCAAGTTTAGGCAAGGTGTGTTTAGTTTGTGGTAATTTAATAAGCTAGCCCACTAGTTTGTGAGAAGTGTCCGCAGTGCAGTTACCAGGGCCAAACTTTACATCACACATGTATATAAAGAGTTATTCCTCCAAGAAGTTCCTTCTAAAATCCTCAATTTAGTATTATTTCTAGATTAAACAATAAAGCCAATAGGTATAGACCAAGCTTTTCAGGAGTGAAAGCCCAGTATCCAGGCACACACACCATGTGGGCTTCCATGGACCACTTAGAGATGGTTTTCACCTCTGTTGCTTACATGAATTAATTGGAGAATCATAACGACTGGCTGAAAGAGGTGGCCTATCGCGAGTCTCCTTTTCCATTTCTTCTTTTAATATCAATTGCCCCAGACCTGAGTTAAGCTATAAATAGGAAGAGAAAAAAATATATAAACAAAATACAATGGTGGATTGGTTTATTAAAACAGTTGAAATTGCTTATGAAAAGTCTGTCCATGGTGCACAGTGGAGGATTCTGAAGATTCGGAAATAGTATTAAGATAAGGCTATAACAACCTTCATGAGCTGCTCCTCCTGTAGCTGCCGACGTCTCTGGAGCTCTTCATCTTCTTCCTCTCTGCCACTTGATCTGCGTCTCATGTCAGCTCCTGCTTCCATAAAACCATGGTACAAAGAGAGCTTTCTCATATCAGTCCCACCACACCAAAGACTTAAGGTCTACTACATAGTACAACCTAACTTCGTTTGCTAAATAAAAAAAATGCAAAGATTGCCAGTAGCTTCCAAAGCCCTTTCAAAATCCACCCTTACCCAAAATGAACACTGAGCAAGTCCACCCACTGTGAGACCAGAAGGGTGCTGGCACTATCCACAGTGAGAAGTTATACTAAACAGAACATTGGTTCCCAAACTCTTTAGGCTTCCTTATCAATTTAGGCTTAGAAGCCCTTGGTTGCACTAGGCAGTGCATCCCACCTCCCACAGATATGCACATGCTCTAACTAGAAATAGAGTTTGGGCTATTCCAGAACCCACTTACATAGTAATGAGGCTGGAGCTGTTTGAAGTCCCAGTTTCACCACTGCAAGATTGGAGTTTGGAGTAGCTAAAGCTTCACATTTGCTTAGCACACGCACAAGTGAATAGAAGGGGAGCAGCAGTGGTGTTCCAGGACCTAGCACAGATGCTTGCAATCAGCTTAACAGAGGCTTGATCTTAAAAGCACTGGTCCATGTACCAGAATGGCCGAGAACAATAGGCCTGATTCTCATTTACACTAAGGCCACTTTACCCCACTCTGACAGCATGGAGGGGACTCAAAGTAGGTATGAATTCTATTCAATCCACTTTGTGGCCAATTTAGACTGCCAAAGTAAAGCAGCTGTAGTGTAAATGAAAATAAGGTTCAATGATTTTTTAGAACATAGTCATGAACAGGCTGAATAACATGGCTACAGGCAGTTCTGATGACAGCAGTAGTCTCCCTCTATGGGCCAAATCCTGAATTCCTGACTAATTTTTCAATCAATCCTAATTCAGTCAAAGTTCTCATTATAATCAAATGTGAGTTTCTGAGTAAAAACCAAACCCTGCAATTGAACCATTAGGATGCTTAAATTCAACACAATATTATACAGGGAACTGTAAAATGGTGCTAGCATGGAGGTAGCTAAAAGGTTACAGAGGTTAAAATTTGTTTGCTAGACATGCCATTTTGCTCAGTCTTTCTGCAGAGTTTTCTGCAGAATAGTAGGAATACACATTTTTTATTTTTTAATTGTTTGGTCCAGTTTAGCTCTGTATGGAAAACATCAGACTCAGTAAATCAGGCAACCAACCTAAACACAGACTCAAGATTTTGTTTTTAATCATGTTAATTAATATGTAAATGATACACTTATTGCTGAGTACAGAAAAGCCCAGAATGCATTAGGGCCAATATAGTTTCTGCAGAGTCATGTTTAGTTTCTCAGGAAAAATAAACAACCTGAGAGCCAATGTATGAAGCAATTTTATTTAAAATAGTAACAATCAAGATACAGTCCATTGGCAGGTGGGTAATGGACTGGGAGGTGATGACCAAAGTGGTCAACTAGGAACCCATCACAGATAAATAACACATTACGTTATAATGATCATTGGTGTTATAATGAAATATTAAAAATACCCATGAATTATCGATTTGATGTTACAGGTTGTGAAGTTTCAATTGGCATGTAGAAGCTATTTCTAGTGAATTGATTCCCTCTACATTAGCCATTCATATTATTTGCCTCATCTCAAACCACTGAATTCCTAACCCTTGTTATGGTTCTATGAACAGCTACACGGAACGTACTGTGGAGTGTCAAACTCTTCACCCAAAACAGAAATAACCAACCTAAAGAGTTTGCTTTGTGCATCTCTGAAGAAGTAATGTTTAAATTAGCTGTCTAGCATCCCTCCTGGTCGGGAATCTTCACAAGCACAAAGAAAAAGACAAATTTAAAAAAATGATTGTGTATGTGATTCAAAGAAAACGCAATGAATGAGACACTGCAGTGTAATGACACGGAAAAGAAAGATATACATTCTGTGGATACAGCGTAGATGGGAAACACAACTTTTACGATGGTCTCATTCAGAAGGTATCTATGCAATGACTGTTCCTTCACAGTGCTCATCATTGCCACAGAAAAAGCTACATGGCAAGAGAAATGACATTCTTTACAAGTATATTTACTGTTAGCATAGAACTAGAAGGTGAAATAAATAATAACTGAAAGAAGTCAGGCTTCTATGATGCATTCAAGACATTGAACCGCCCATAGCCAATTGAACAATATATATCTCCTCTATGGGAGAATGTCCATGTTAACAGTCCCAAAGTTCTTTTATGAGACCTGTTTTCTTTGCTATTATTATTTATAGCACAGGCGTGCACAGAGGCCCCAATCAGATTCAAGGCCTCAATGTGCTATGTGGTGAACAGAGGTAGACAGTTCCTGCCCCCGAGAGCTTACAGTTTCAATATTAGTCTAATTTATTTATATGTACCTCTTAATCCATGTCACTTAGTTCATTGTTTTTTTGCATACCTACAGCCGCAAGTGAGGGAGGACCTGGCCAGTGGTCTGTCTCAATCTTTGGTATCTCGTTGGGTGCTGGAGCATGGGCTGCTGGGAACTTGGAGGACTTGATGATATCCTCGGAGGACTTGCTCTGTGCTGCCAAAGCAGTTGCATCTAGATGGCAATCAGGGGAACTTAGCTATGTTATAGCCTACATCAGTGTCATGGTTTTCCTTACTTTGTTAATATTTCATACTCTACAGCAGTTCAGTTATTAAAAGTGTATGCACTGATCTTTTGGCTTCCTAGTTTCAGCTTGCAGTACTTCTTCCCCTCATTAATGTCTTACAATCAAATTTATGCTCTTCCCCCCTTCACAAAATACAGGATTTCACTGGAGTAGCACACTGTTAGAATGATTAGACAGATAGAGGGAACGCAGGCAAATACATCAAGCAGCATTTCGCTGTATCTCCTGACGATAGCTGATCCTTAATGAAGACTTCAGTGTGCTGGCTTGTCTTCCCTTTAGGGCAAGAAACCAGGAATAGTTCAGTGGAGTTGCACTAATTTTAATTCCACCACATTTAAAAACATTTCCTATGCTTCTGTGAAAAATTGCAACAGCGAAGGGGTCTGCAGCAAGTAGAGAAAGGTGTTTATCACTCGAACCTCTCTGCTGCATCTAGTAACTCATTCATGTTCAGTAACAAAAGTGAGCTTGAGTTTAGTAATAAATGTTAAATTCTGTTCAGATCAACTCAGCAGGGAGATAGTCTTCAGAAATGAAATTTACCACTGTACTATACAGTATTTAAAAAAAACCTCATCAGGAATTCCAGAGTCTTATCTCAGTAGTGTGGCACAAATCTAGAATTCAAATCTGGGCCAAAGTCTTTTTAAATGATCATATAATGCAGGGATGTGCATTGTGGTTTTAATTTGTTGACCTTCGACCAAAAAAATAAATTAAAAAAATAGAGTGTTTTACTTTGTATTAAAAACACCCTGGTTACTGCCTAAAATGCAAAATATCAGCCTCAGTTAAGTCATTTTATTTTTGACCATCAAATTAGAAGACGATTCCTGGACCTACTTTCATTGAAAGACGTCTGCTAAGACAAGCAACTAGGAAGCCGAGGGCAGATGTTTTTCAATAACAGATTCATTACATTTTAATGTTTACGGCTTTAGTCTGAGATTGTCAAAGCAACATAAGGAATTGAAATGCCCTTATTCCCATTAAAATTAACAGGAATTTCACATCCAAATCCTTTAGGCCGCTTTGAAAATATCTGCCTTAATGTGTATTGGGAATGTTGGCAATTTTAAGACGGGGAAGGTTCTATGCATGAACATACAGAAATCTGGGGAAGCTGGTCAGGGGATAACAAAAGCATGACTTCAAACAGTACTTCGATATTAGAATTGGTGAGGTTAGTGGCTAAACATTCACATGTTAATGAGAGGGTGAGAAGACACATTAAAACCATAAACCCCCCAAAAAATAATATTAAGAAATTTTTTAAAATGAGAATATGGTTTAAAATAATTTTTTAAAAAAGAGGCTCAATCTGCAGTAATGGGACTCTGGTTTCTAATCTAGGTCTCCCTATTTTTTCCTCCTTGTGAGCTCAGCTGCTCTCTCTTAGCTGCTCATCTAAAACTTATGATTCTGTCCATCTGTTAACTAATCCTACAAAGAAACTATACGGGTTTGTGTAGGATCTCCAAAGGCAAATGCAAGAATTCCCTCAGGAAGTATAGTCACATGTGCTTTACCAACATAAAAAAGCCTTTTCCTATTAAACACTCTATATTCATAGCAGAAGGCAATAGTGAATTAATTCAGTAATAATAGGGACCATGTTCCATAGCATCAGGCAGTGGCAAATCAATTGGCTGGTCCCATCATTATTATTATTATGAGGAATGCTAAAACAATGGGCAGCTTGGAAAGAGGTTTAAAGTAGCAATGAAACTGAATATTGGAAAAACAAATTTGACTGTCAAAGCTGCTCCATTGGCTTTGACAGTCAAATCAGCCTCCCCAGAGATACATTGCATACAACACTTTCAACAATTCTACTTGTTCTTAGCTCTTTTAGCAAATTTGCATTTGGAATACTGGTCTGCCAATAAAAATCTCCATCTTTATGGTGGAAGCAAAGAGTTGTACTTTATTTGCCTGAAACAAAAGTTAATATGATATAGGCTGAGACCCTCCTGTTGAAAAATCAGTCTTACCATGATGAATTCCTGTGGGAATAGGTACGGTACCTAAATCATGTTAAAGACACAAGGTGAAATCCTAGTCCCATATAAATCAACGGGAGTTTTGTCATCGACTTCACTGGGGCCAAGATTCCACTCATTCTTTTTATTTGCAATCTGTCCAATAAAAGCTGCTTTTAAACGAATATTTCCGATTTGTAATGTGTACGTGAAACACTGAGTGTTTTCTGCTATGCTGTACAAATGTTTAATTGAGCAGACTCTCCTACTTAGAAAATACAGAGAGGAAAGAGGGTTTACCATGTTGTTTATAGATGGGTGGTTTCCTGTAAATGTTGATGCCTTGATCTGTGGAATTAAAAAAGCAGAAATGTGTGAATATGGGGAAGACTTCAGCTATGAATAAAAGAAAAACCCCAACACCAAACCAATAGACACACTAAACCAAGGAGTTAGCACAGGAAGAAGCCAGAAAGCTAACTCTAGCATTACATATAGCTGGATTACTCGAGAAAATACTAGAACAGGTGAAAAGTCACAGACATGTGGTATGAAATCTTTTGCCATTTATTTTGCAACATGTTGATGCATCTAAGTCACGAGCCATTCATTTTAAATACTTAGAAGTTTATTAGTAACATAAAGGTTATAGAAGAAATGCAAGCAAAGGAGATATTTTGATGGTGACTATGTAAGCAATTTGGGGACAGCAACCCCAAATGACTACATTCTGGAAAATTGTGCTTCAGCAATAGCAGCTTAATTTCCTCTCCAACCAATGAGTTGGACAGAGCGTAGAGCAATGCAGTGAACCTACAATTCACATTAAAACCTACTGACCATGCGGTCTAGTCTGCCATTTTGAAGAACAGCCAACTATTGTACTGCACTGGGCCAGAGAGATGCTCCATGCAATGCTAACTAACGTAGTGCTAATACCAAACCACAACATGGACAGATTAAAAGCATTTCTATGTGACAAATATTGTACAGCACATCATCATTATGCATTAGATTTTAACTGCAACCCCCAAAACTCTTACACAGTATTTCTACGGCAACCTCTTCAAGAACTGGGATTTTTTTTTTTTAATAGATGCTGATTTAGTAACAGGCAAAGGTTCATTCTGAAAAAAACTTACAAGTTCTTCACAAAAACAACAGGCAAGGTGATCCAAAATTAATGCTACAGTGAAAAACCAAGTATCAGAATCCCATTATGCATAATGAGTTCTATTAGGGGCTGAAAATCTGCATTGCAAAATAACCATTTGCTATTGTATAATATCGATTTTGCTTACATTAGCACAACTGTCACAGAAAATGTTTAGAAGCATACAATGCACATCATGGGTCCAATGAACGTGCTAAAGGAGACAACTTTATCTTTGGTATCAAGGAAAGGAACCTTACACATCTATGAAAATTAAAGTAAATCCTGCCTGACAATGCCCTACATCACTGACTAAACTAGGCAAATTCAGAACACAGAGACACAGAGGCATTTTTTGTTCCCGCTAGAGGACCACTGTCTCTACTTGAATAACATATCTGTAAACGCTACCAAGGTATTTAAGTCATGCGATAGATTCCCACCTGCCTACACTGGAAAGTTATAAATAGAGACTTTCCCTCATTCCATCTAAATACAGGAACAGGAAACTTTTCCACAGTGGAAAAGTTGTAAATTTGACTTAAAACAGTCTGTTCTTTGTAAACAGGGCATGTTGACTTTATGTATCCTTGCATGGGAAGTCAAGTTATTGTACAAAAACAAAAAAAGAATTTTTCTCATCCAGTTAAAAAAAAAAAACAACCAAGACCTAACTTGGAATGGTCTTGCTCAAGACAAAGCAAGTCAGGAGTTGCCTTTATCAGATATGAAAATCACGAGCATGCTTAGATTTAACTGCTCTTGCTGGAGAGCATCATAACTGCTCCAGGCCCCATTCGCCTCTCATATACACTAGTATAAGTCAGGAGTAACTCTTCCAAGAATGGCTCAGAGCTTGGGGAAGTGAGAAGGATCAGGCCCTAAATGCTCAGCTCACTGTCTATTGACTAACACTGAACCACAACCCATTTCTAATGCTGAAGCACAGGGCAAGATAAAGCCACAATCCATCCCTCCACACTTGCTAAACACAAGACTCCTCTCAGCAAGGTCAGGAGCAGGTCCCTGTGATCAGAACTCTGTGTGCGCATACCAAGTAAAACAGCGTGAAATAATGGAGACAAGACAGAGGTGACAAAGGCTACATTCTACACTGTGACAGGACACCAAGACACAGAGTGCCAGCTCCTACCTGGAACATGGAAATGTTTAGGGGCCTGAACGTAAGTTGGAGTTAGAGGGCGGCTGTCTGGCCGATAAGGGACAGGGGAGTTCCGACCGCTGGACGGCTCATTGCCTCCAATGAGAAGAATGGAGAAAACAAAATGAGAAAAGGGAGAGCGATAAAGAAGCAAGCATAATAAAAACCCAACCAAAAGACGGTCAACGCAAAAACTCCAGGGAGGAAGAGAGGTTTAAAGCAGAACTAAAAACAAACAATATTCAACAGACTTGACTAGCACTGGATGACTTTGCTTTTCAATATTCCTGCAGAGACCGAGATTCACGTTCAGACTGACGTTCAGACTGGAGTTGAGTTTTAAGCAGCTCACATTCATTCTGACGGCATGCATGTAGGAGCTGTGTGTTGGCAGCTTGGTGGTTAGATGGGCAGGACGGGAGAGAGGAATGGAAGGTTATTTGGCAATGGTTCAGTACAGAGATTGACAGTTTTGGTTATAAGTCACAGGTATGTGGTATAGTAGTTGATATGCAAACCCAAAATGAAATTGGTTTCCAAGCATGTAGAAGCAGATGTTGGCAGCTGGAATACAATTCCCTAAATCAAAGGAGCACAGACATTACAGAAGGAAAAGAGCTGTTAGGTCACCTAGGCCATCTCAGAGCATTGTTCCCCACAACTCTATTAGCTTAGCCACACAGGAGTTAAAATTCTTAAACTTAGGTCTTCATTATACGACTGTTCTGACTGGAACATTCCTTCCCCTCCCAGCAGATCCACCATATTAACCCAGGCACCCTGAAGGTTGCTGAAATGAGCCAGAGGCATCACTGCAGTGCTTATCCTCCCACCCAAGACATCAAGATTTGAGAGCAAGGTTCCCATTCACATGGCTGCAGGGACACTAACCAAAACTAAGGAAACCTTGGCCCTGATGCTCCACTCTCCTGTACCTTGTGACATCATTTACACCTGCGTAAAGTGGACGAGAAGTGCTCGCAAATCAAAATGGAACACCCATGCACTTACTTTACACAGATGTAATGACTCCACGGGAGAACCAAGCCCCTTCTGTTTTTTAAATGCGTAGAAGGGGACCAATGCCAGCCGGAACTGAGAGAGACAGTCAAAAGAGAATAAGAGAGAAGGAAAAGTGGGCTTTAAAATTTGACAACCAGTGGAATTGCAGTTCCCAAAAGAGGTCATGTTTTCCAGTCCAGGGGTTCTTGTGAACTTTAACCTGTATTTCTAAGTAATGGCAAGGCACCCAGAGCTGTTGGCTAAGCACCTTTCTTATACTTTATAAATCCAATAATCAGATAAAAGTATTTTTATTCCCCCCCCCCTTTTTTTTTTTTTTACTACTACTAGAAGGGTGGCCAGTGAGCTGAAAATGCAGCAGAAGAGCAAGGCAATTCACCGTACATGCTACTCTAAGCGAGGCATGTGTTTAAATGCCAAATTTTCCAAGACGCCTCCACTTGTGCTTAAGGAAGTCATTTGCAGCCTTATGACTTGTCTATGCACATGATGAATTGATGTACAAACACTGTATTTGGGCATGATTTGCATGCACAAAATGTGTCCATACAAATGCATGTGCAAACTAGTATATGTACCACTATGATCGTTTGGCCCGGTCTTGTTACACAGTCCCCAAATGTGCTGTGCCATCAGATGTTCCATGTGCTGTGGTTCTTCTATTTTAGGTTCAGTGTTGCTGAGTACTGTTCAGCCAATGGCTAATTTGGAAAACTACATATCAGCTAGGAGTAGCAGAATGCATGGTTATTTAAAGTGCTATGGCTATGTGTGTGTGGCAATTCAAGGACGTAATATTGTGTTCTGAAGTCACGCTCTGTGGAATATATCATTTTGGTTATGTTGGCTTCTGATAGAAACTTGTTTCTATTAGAACATTATAAACTCCTTTTTATTAAGATCAGTGTTCTGTAGACTACCACCCCCACTGTAAATCTCAACACCTAGCTAATTTGACATATTTTAAACTTGTATGCAGACATGTCATTCCCTCTTCCTGCTCACACTGGTTGGGAGCAGTCGTGCATTTAGCAGGAAAAACATTTAATGAGAAAGGGTAATCAGAAGAGACTTCTTGAACTATGCAGTCTTGCAGCAAGCAGAGAAGCAGGTTTAAAATGAAGGGTTTTTTGTGAGTGAAGCTTGCAATCCACACCTTGCTGTCAAGAGGTACATTTTACCTGCTGAATGTTGATGACAACATGGCATCAAGGTGGGACATGGCTGACTTTCATAGCGTCATCACCATTTTGACAGATGGGAAAACTGATATGAGAGGAGTGACTGGAGTAAAGCCATTGGAAACTAGTATTCAAACCAGGGTTGGGAGTTCTGGTTCTCACTATCAATCCTGTGCTCAGGCCACTATAACCACCTCTTTTCTCTGTGCATGGAAGAGCCTTGGAGATCATTGACTGCCATGTCTGGCGTAAGGCTGAGGGTGGCTTTGCAAGAATGTGAATGTGTTAGTGCCTCTATAAATAATTCACTGTTCTGTAAATAACCTGAAGAATCCCATCTACACCCCTTTTTATATTCACTAGAAATTAGTGAGCACAATCACATTGACTAAACTGTGCTGGACAATCCCATGTCTAGGAACCCAGATGATATAACTAATAAGTTATATAACAGACCCCATTGACCAGGTAATTGAACCAGGTCTCCTTGCACTTGTTGCTTCACAGATGACACCTGTCACTAGTGATGAATGACGCTTCTGTGGATAGAAGGGAAACCCTAACCACTATTGCAGAGAATGGTGCACTTCACAGCACTTCTGTACCACAGCCTTATAGTGCTGCGTAAAAGCTTCTGATACTGTTACAGCAGCAGCCGCTATTTGAGAAAGTGGAGTTCTGTGTTACAACAGATCATTTACTCTCAATCTGGTTATGATGGTCCCTAAAAATTTGCTGAGAAGAGTTATACAGAATTATAGCTTGATTTGCTGAGAGGCTTAGACCATGACAGCTCTTAAGAAAAAAGGGTTTATGAACACTAGTATTTTAGCAAGAAGAGCACCAATAGGAACAACACATAAATTATATTGGCTCTGCATCATATATGTGATATGATATAATACAGAGTGAAAAGAATGAAGAATTTCTGGGCAAATAAAACTATATTCTGACACAGCATTTGCCCTAAATCTTTACATATTGCTTTGAATAGTGTCCATAAATGGTTATGTGAAGTGAGGCGGTCTGGCCTCCCTCTGACCCAGAGGGGGAGGAACCACCACCTGTGCCCAGGTAGGTGGAGCCAGACCAGACTTGTCCCGCCTGCTGGAAGTGGGAAAGCGGGACAGGAAGTATAAAAGGCGGAGCCTCCAGCTCAGTTGGGGCCGAGACACCGAGGGAGACAAACGCATCCTGCTCGCTGCAGGCTGCTGAGACAAGTAGTGCCCTGTTCCTAGAGGAACCTGTGTTCACAAGGGAGCTCCCAGGACTGCCATTGCCTATCTACCCCGAGGAGGCTGAGGACGCCCATGGAGCCAAGGTACCGAATGTAGGGGTAGTAGGAAGTAGCTCAGGGCCAGCAGACTACAGTCCGGCTGTGTTGCTGCCTGAACCCAGGTCAGTGTGTTGCGGCTGGATTCCCTGCTGACTCAGTGGCAGAACACTCTACTCCTATTAGGGCCCTGGGCTGGGACCCCTTAGACCCCACAATAGGCCAGGAGGCCTGTGTTAGCCTACCATCCTCCAGAGCTAGACTATTCACTGCTCTGCCCTGCCTGGGGGTTAAGTTCTTAGACAGTTTGCTGCCCTACCCTCCCTGAGGGTCTGGGTCCCTGAACTATCCACTGCTCTGCCCTGCCCTGCCTGAGGGCCAGAGCCCTATAGACTGAGTCCTTGGCTACACTTGGGAATTCACAGCGCTGCCGCGGCAGCGCTGTGAAGCACGAGTGTAGTCGCGCCGCCAGCGAGCTCTCGCAGCACTGTATGTACTCCACCTCTCCGAGGGGAATAGCTTGCAGCACTGTGAGCGAGCGTGCAGCGCTGCAGGCTCTGATTACACTGGTGCTTTACAGCGCTGCACTCGCTGCGCTCGGGGGTGGCGTTTTCACACCCCTGAGCGCAGCAAGTTGCAGCGCTGTACAGCGCCAGTGTAGCCAAGGCGTCAGATTCAGGATGCTAACACCTGGTCTCCTAATTTCCCCTGATAATAGGCAGCAATTTGGTGATGTAGTGAGGCAGTCTGGCCAGCCTCCCACCCAGAGGGTAAGGGATGACCGCAACATCATTACATTAAGTCTATTGCCATTTAACATCTCGCTAGACAGAGCAATGGAAAATTTGTTAATTCAGCATTTGAGTTAAAGAAAAACATGCAGATTTTGAGATGGTGAGAAAAAAAGCCATCACACCCACCCAGCATGCATGAAGATAATCACATGGGTGAGACATGACATACCTATGTAGAATGAAGCTGCAAGGAAGACAGGGGGGGAAAAAGTAAACACACAGCCCGGGAAAAAATAAGGATGAAATGAGAACATATCCTTATCAGCTCCTTATCAGCTCTGAGACCCAAGCCATGATAATGACCTCAATCTGGGGGTCTGTTGGAGAACATCTTTGCGAGACATGCAGGACATCATCTGAACAGTAATGACCAGAAGGTGGGTCATTCTTACAGCAGAATTAAATTACTTTTCTCCTGACTCCAAACAAAGCAGGGACTCCTTGCTGAGGAGAATTTCTTTGAACTGGATAAATGAAATCAGCCGTGAAATTCAACTAAAAAGGAGAACATGTTTATGATGGAATGGGAAAACCCAGCAGTAGCCAGTGAAATCTATAGTGCGCTTCATTTTCAAAACCTCTAGGACAGGGGTCCTCAACCCCAACAGGTATCAGGGGTCATGCGACCAAATGGGAGAAGGGTGCTCAAATGGAAAGCCACTGCACTAGGGAATGCTGCTCCAGGAAGCAAATGTTCCTTATCACGATACTTCCAGAGTAACATACATAATGGACATCACAAAGAGAATTCTGGGGTGTAAGTTGTCTCTACGGTCTGTCTTTGGAATATAAAGGAAAAAAAAGTGTGCATATAAGTGTGCATGT